TTTAGAGCGTTTGAAGTCGGTTGTATTTTTTTACAAAAATAAATTATATATATTTATGTTAACCAGCTACAATTTATTGATTTAAAAAATACACTCTCAATCTTTTTATTATATTCATATTTGCAGTTAGAGCCGACTTGAAATACGTGAGCTTGACTAATACAAAAGTTTACTTTATTGAAATTATTTCATTCTTTTTAGAGCGTTTGAAGTCGGTTGTATTTTTTTTTACAAAAATAAATTATTTCATGATTTTTAGTGACTGTATAATTTGTTTTATATTAATTACTTGAGGGTTTTTGGTAAGCAAAACTGTTTGAAACAATAAAAAGTGCCACAGAACAATCATTATTTTAAAACTGCTTGAGTCACCTGTTCAAGCTGAATGGTTTAAGTTACCTGGCTTCGTCACCTGTTCAGGTTACACAATCAATGGGTATAAAAATTAAAATTTTTAGTTTTTCCTTAAAAACAAAGAGTTGTCCATTAAATTAGGCCCAATGAAAAACTAAATGTATTTCCTGACATTGAAATGCCAGACATCATCGTTTCCTGAAATCGGTGTAATTATACATTATAAAAATAAATACAGTAACGTCTCAAGACTTTTGGAACAATATGAAAGTTATTCCTCAGCCACCAGCACTAAAAAATCTCTCAAAAGTAGAAAATTGGTTGTTATCACGTATAGTACCTTTGGAAAATATGTACATGAAAGATTGGTTCCGCTAAAAGTGGTGTAAGGGGTAGGTGGTTTTGTTTGCTCAAGATGTAGTCGAAATTGCAAATCAGCTTCCTCTAGGACTTTCCGAAGCAGGCATAATAGTATTGATATGATATATATAGTACCTAGTAGTAGTATATATATAGTGCCATAGTACATGGGTAGAGAATAGTAATAAACATTCCATATCTGCAAATGCATGTTTAGTAATTAAAATATTTAACACTTTTAAGACGATTTACGATTATGCACTCTCACACGCCTTAGGTCGTGTAAGGAATAATTGCATTTAATTTATATTTGGACCTCTTTTATGAATGCTTTGCTTTTCACAATACACTTTTATTATAAGTCAGAATATTCAATACTCAAAACAGAATTGTACACAAATCAGGCCAAACGTTGAAATACATTTTTTATAGAAACCAAAACAAAATGCATTTTTTTCAATGTACTGTAATTTATTTAGGCTCCATGGCAAGAAATAGTTTATTAATCAATATGAAACAACTGTTTCATGAAGAACTGTCTGTAGCTTCATTTAAATGGTTTCAACTAACAGCTGTAGGAATATTATTATTATTTATTGCCTTCTCTGCACAAATATAAACAAAATAAATGTTGAATATTTGAGGTTTTCAGCATTTTTCACCGAAACAAATATTACAACTAAACATAATATAAGGTACCAAATAGAAACTCTCCTGGTTATTTTGGTGGTGGAACCACGCTGATTGGCAAAAGAATCACAGAGAAATTGGTGAACATACATAGAAAAAAAAAACATCGCCACAAACAAATTGAGAACCTCCTCCTTTTGTTGGTAGTGGGGAAGTCGGTTAAAAATAGCCTGTTTCCCTTCTGTCATTTTAATATTTACCTTTTCTCTTTACCTATCAGTTTACTTTTAAATACAATGATAACTTATTAGATGAGATGGTTTATGTATGCAGTTTTAATGGTCTTTGTGAGACATTGATAAGTTTTCCACCACAATGTATATAGTGAATAAAAATATCATTGACAAAATCTTCAGTGAAGGATTCTCTAAAGATGCTTAAAAAGACAAAAATCATGGAATAATTTTACCAAAGAATGACCATGGTGGCCAAATTAATAGTAAAATAGCTAAGCAACTAAATAATGACAGTAGAGTTTACTACTCAGTGGACACTTTGGTACAAGAAGAGGGAGACCAGTTACATGTCCCTGATGAATTTCTCCACACTTTAGCAAGTGGTTATGTCTGTCAAGTTATGCTTTAAAAAAGGTGGAATTGTATTTTTACTAAGAAATTTGAATCCATAAAAAAGTATTAAATCTGGAAATGATTACTGGAAGTTCGGCTGGAAAACGAGTATTATTATTCCAATTAAGTTTAGAATCTTCAGAAGGAAATTTTTTCTTTAAATTCAAACATCGGCAGTTCCAATGCCGAATTGCTTTTGCCATGACCATCACAAAATGCAAGGACAGAAACTTCAAAAAGTTTGTCTTATCTGCCATAGCCCTGCTTTCACCATGGGCCATTGCACTTACTCCGCTTTTGATTAACTAAAAATGATGGTTTAAGAACAACGAAACCAAGGTCTTCTGGTTAAAGACGTTATTAGAATGTTTGCGAAAAAACATCAGATGGAAAGAGTTTTATCTTTAACATGTCAAAAGTAAGATGCAGGCTAAATGTTTTCTGTTCTGTCAGACAGTATTGTGTACTCTGTTAAAACCTTTATTAAAACAGTATTGAGTATTGACTTTTGACTTATTATGTAGTGACAAGGTAAAATTGTATTTAAATTATTAAAATAAAATTGAAGTGTTGTTAATATTATTAACTGGAAACAACTAGTAGGTGCAAAAACTACTGATCCAACTGGGCTTAAATTTTACAAAAATATAGCTACCATACTAAGGACCATTATAGGACTATTCGTATTCACACTTCAATACTGCCCGTGGGCTTTGCCCCTTTGGCTTTAAAAGTTCTGAGGTAAGGATTTTAAAAGTAAATATTCATTGGTCTCCATGGTTGCAATGAGAATACTCACAACATTTGCTTCTTGACATTTCAATGTAAACAAGAAGAACTGCCAAATTGCATATTTCACAATTTAAGACAGCTGATCCAATGAAACTAAATATAATATTTCACACAATTATGTGGATGGTTTATTTAATCTAAAAATTTATCAAAGATCATTTATTCAAAAACTATGTCAATGGTTATAGAAATAAAATACCCCCGCCGCAGCAAACCTGCAGACTAAGCGAATTTCCATTTGACTGATTGGATTTACACTGAAATGTCTACTTAAAAATATAACATTTATTCCCAATTTAAATAGAATTAGTTTAACAAGTACTTAGGTTTGCTGCATCAGGGAGGGTAAAATTGTTTTTTTTTTTGGAAAATGTTAATAGTTAGTAAGAAATAAAAAAATTTTCCAAATTTGATCAAAATATGTTCATAAACAAGCAAACTACAACAGTTTACTTATTCTCCATAAGAATAACATGGGAATTTTAAATTTACAATTTTTTTGAATTTTCTCCGTAACCGTTAGGCGCATAATAACGCTTCAATATACTAAATTATTTGTTTTTTTAAGCTCTACAAAATGGTTTGGAAATAAATTGCAAAATTTTAAGTTTTTTGGGTCAAAAATGGGAAAAACCTATTTTTACCCCATAAAACCCCTTGTAAACACCCGTTCCCATGGTCCGATCATGCTGGATCGCGAACTCGTTCGAATAAACGTAGGTTTACACGTTTGTACCAAATTTCATCAAAATCGGATCATTTTTGCTTGAGTTATCGTGCTGACGGACACATATATATATATATATATATATAAATATATATATATATATATATAAATATATATATATATATATGAATTTGAACGGATGGTGTTTTTGGCCTCTAGGGACCTCAAAACGAAAAAAAAAATCGGTCCCGCGTCCAGGTCTTACCATGAGTACTACGGTAATAGCTTATTCCCTATATGGGAAATTCGCTAAAAAAGATTCTAAAAGCGTTGCTGTATCAACCCAGGCTCTGCTTTCGATTTTTAAAGTGTCTTAAGTGTTATGAAAATAATGTTATTGATATATTTTCATGAAAACGGTAAGAAAATTACAATGCATAGATGTTTTGTATGAATTTGGAGGCTACTTTAAATAAATTCGAACTGCTTAACATGTGTTAGACTTAACATGACTTGCACATCACAATGTTTTTTTATGTATATTTAGGTAAATTTAGTTATTGTGTTTTGCTAAACCTATGCTTAAATTAAACTAAATAATATAATCAATAACTAAATTGTACGTAGTTGATTTTTGTGTTCTAAAATCTGTTGTATATGTGTAAATATATTTAATTATTAAATGGTAATACAAAATACTCTTATTTTATCTTAACACAGCTTTCAGTTCACATTTACTTCATTTATTAAATTTATTATTTGTGTTTTGCCACAGCACTGATTAAATGAAACCAAGGAAAATACCATAAAACTAAGCAGCACACAGCGTTCTTTTGTTTCTAAAATCAATAAAAATATCTGTTACTATGTTTACTTAATGGTAAGTGTGAAAATGTAAAGGCAATGGACGATGGAACTGATTAAAAGAACTGGTTTGTATATTAAGTTGCTTGTTGATATTTTTGTAGAGTAGAATCAGAGATGCATACTGTATTTGCTATTACAGTTTTTAGTCCTTGATGCTTTGATAATCATATTAGTTTTGTCTGCTGTCTTAAATGCTACATTATTTGTTTAGAATTTTGTATAGTTGTATAGTTAGAATTTTATATAGTTTCTTAATATTTCAAAAGACCAGGCACAACAATACTATAGATATACAAAACTATATACGTCCCATCTATATGGACCAGCCATTTTTTTAAGAACTTAGTTTGTGAGCCAGTCACAGAATGCGCTAGTTATAAAATAGATTTGTTATTTCTCTTTCAGTGTTCAAAATTCAACATGGTCAATATTCAAAGTCAATACAGCATTACATTACTCTCTTAGTAAATTAATTAAACATGTTTACCCTTTTTTATATGTGGGCTACCTGTTAGTCAAAGCTGTTATGAACAGCCTGATAGTGATCAATGTTCTACATCAATTAGTTGATAATGTTAGTAAATATAATGAGTAACTAACTTAAAAAGGATCTTTGATTCTGACGAAAGCGTTTAGTTAACAAATGCTAAAAATATTCTAAAGCTGAAAAACCAGAGAAAATAATATAAAAGCTAATTTACCTTTTGTTAAACAGCCAATACACGAGACCACAAAAAATACACCATTCAAATAGTCCAGGCATTGCGCCGTTAACAATGTAAAAAGAGAACATGTTTCTGTATGTTTATTTGCACTTACTAACACTGAAAAATAAACAGATTTGACAACCTGCGAGGTATAGTAACATATTTTTTGTTGAAGATGTTCAATAGGAAAGCCACACAGTTCCAAGTGTAGGCTATATAATCACGTTGTTGCAACGCTCGAGCTTTTTCAATATCCCGTTACCGGTCTCACAAGCGGTACGCTGTACACTGAAAAAAGCGAAACTTCCTTGGACCATTCGACAACGTATGTACAATGTCACGCCAATTTATATTTTCTCCTTGCAAAACCCCGTTTCATAATTATAGTATCGCTACTGGAACCACATTCTACATTTTTGTCACTGACGAACCAACTAAACTACGAGTCGTAGATTTACTAAGGTGGGGTGCTGTTGCTACAGGGTTCATCGTGGTTATCATAAAACTCAATCCGAGCACGAAACTTTGTACTGTACTTAGGTACTTAAATAGAGAAATACGTTTGCGGTCTTAATAACTTGACGACGTCCAAGTTAAAAACTGTATCCTATGCTGCGAACATGCAGCGCTGCGCGGTACTGAGTAGCATTCACACCACAATAATTAATTTTTAGCGGTCCTACAAACATATTAGTACAGTTTTACAAAATCAGTAGTAAGTTTATTAAAGATTTAAGTTGCAAAGGGTAGGGTACTGATTTTTAAAATTACGAGTTCTTATAGGACTAAAACTTACTTGAACGATAAATTGGGTAGGGGTTTTATTTAAATAAACCAAAATAAAATGTTTATCTAACAGTTCTAAAATCTTAAATCGATTTTTTTAAACGACAATCTCGTAATATCCTCTGTAAATACCTAGAGTAACCATATTTTATATAAAATGTTACACCGTAATACCGAATTGTGAAACTCTTTAGGATTTAAGCGACGACTGACGCCAATCTCTCGACTTATCCTATTCCAAACGGGTGCGTGCAGCAAGGTAGCCATATACGATGAAATTATACCTCACTAGTTTAACACATTGACACTGAAGCGACAGACCGTTGCGCGTTGGCTGGCTGTGACGGCAACACGCACAAAACACTACTAGTACACTGTTGTTGGTTGTATCGCTACTCGCTAGTTCGCTACCAACCAGCTACGGTACACCAACAGGCGCTAGTCCATATCACGTGGTAACCTTCGCCCCTCGCCCCTCACTGGGACGCAGAAAACTACTGATACAAACTGTTATCAGTTGAATTTCGTAATGCGTGTAGAGGATCGGATGTAGGAGCATAGGTTGTGTTGGTAAATTGAAAGTTGATATTTGTAAAGAATAAAGTAAAGTAAAGTAAAGATTAATCAGGACATTGTACAGTTACAAAAAAATTATTTAATTAGTAAAGCAAAGGACTAAAGGAATGTAAATGGGTCCAGTGTGGGGAGCGAGCTTTCTAGTGAAAGAGCGCGGGATTTCGGGCCCGCACGAGGCGAGCATTTCATGACAAGAAAATGCCACACTTCTGCGCATGCGCTAGTAGCTGCCATGTCGCACTTGTAGCAGCTGCAGCCTTTTCAGAAAATCACACTAGTATCTTCACTGCAACTGCTGCAAAAATCCACTTGAAACTGGAACGGTTCACCCGTAGCACTGAACACCAAACCAATTAATTAACTGAAGAATTGTACAAATTAGGTTTATGTTTGTATTACTTTACTTGTAACCTCTGGCACCTCCTTTATTTTAGAAAATAAATATTAAGTAACTTGGGTGGGTTTAGATACCGTTATCTATAGTTTCAATTGTACCCAGACATATTTTCCAAAAGAGAAGATAGGTACCAAATAAATGCCAATTCTCAAAAAGCTCTAGAGATCAGCTCGCTCTCCACCTCCAATTATATTAGGACTTCTATTTAGTAAAAAGTTAATTTTTAACCTGAAATAAGTTAATTACCAGAAAACTGTCACAAATAAAGACAAATCATTCTTGGCAGACCTATCCCAAGAATTATTGTAGCTTAAAATAATGTGTAATTTATCCGAGTGTTGCTGAGTATAACTTGTTTGTTTCTTTGTACACCATAGTACAGTAGCAACAGTAAAACATTTTATTTAACTTATTAATTCTATGAACATAACATAAATACAGATAAACAAACAAGCTAGGCCCATATCAACAGTAAAATCATAACATAACATAAACAAACAAATCAAATTTTGAGGAACTAGTTAATGGTGGCAGTGCCAGTGCAGTCAAGATGATACTAGAATACCGGTAGTCAAAGATACTAGTCTCAGTCTGAGCTGAGCGTGACTTTCTGAAATACATAGCTGCAACTGCTGCTAGTGCTAGTACTCATTGAGCCACACGGGTAATCTAGTATAGTACTAGTACTAGCGCATGCACAGAAGGGCGGCATTTTCCTGTCATGAAAGGCTCGCCCCACGCGGCCACTGGTGGCTGCCACACGAAAACTTCCCGATCATAACACCCCGCACCATCGCGCCGTGCCGAACGGGGCCGAACTGTATTAAGGTGGTTATGTCTCATGACATGGCGTAAAGTCAGTCTTTTCTCTTGAGGGAACACCAGCGAACACATTCTGTGTTTGCTGGGGAACACCTTTACCGCAATGATACAGTGTAGAGCCATCGGATACGGTGCTAAAGTGGATAGCGTACCGGGCTGAAGAACTGATGGTTGCCGGATCGAATCCCATCGGTGGCACTAACTTTTTGTCAAAGATTTAGTTTAAAATGCGATTACTTCTTGCACATCTTTTGTTAGGATTGGAGGCATTTATAATTTTATTTTATGCAATGAACTATTTTTTCGATTAGTACGTTAAACCTTTATTCGATTTTATCAGCAAGTTTGGTTAGGTTATTGCAGTTTAATTTTATAATAAAAAAATTATAAAATTTGATTGGAGGCATTTATCATTTTATTTTATGAACAGGACTATTTTTTCGATTAGTAAACCTGCATTCGATTTTTTCATTATCAGCAAGTTTGGTTAAATTTAAATGTAACTTACAAACGATACGTTTTGACAGCGACAGTGATAGAGATAACAATTTTCCGCAAACAGTTTGGCTACGCTCGTGCTGAACGACCTTCTAGTCGAAGGGGGAGGTGCAGCTGTCGCGCATGCGCACGAGCTGTCACTGCTATTTTTAAAGTAGCAGTTTCAGTTAAGAGAACTTATTGCGTTACTTCCCGTTCCTGGTCACCACACCACACCTTGTAACGTTGTAACCGTTAACGGAGTTGCCACGCATACTCAGTTTGACAGATATTAACGGACAGAATTAAGCTAAATAGGGTGTAAAAATGTATACCAACACATCCTAATTACTATTAGTTATATACCGGTAGGCCTAAACGAAAATGACAATAAATTCCACCACTAAATTGATAGCAATCACATAATGCTAGCCTAGCCGTACAATTTGTTATTCAGTATTAGTTTTGCCAACAGTGTTTTTGGAGGCTTCTGATTGACTGAAGGTTTACTAATTGAAAAATTAGTTTTGTTCATAAAATAAAATTATAAATGCCTCAAATTCAATTTTATAATTTTTATTATGAAATTAAACTGTCATAACCTAACCAAACCAACCAAACGTGCTGATAATGAAAAAATCCAAGAACCCCTACCCTGCAAACAGCTATAACAGTTACACGGTGGCCGTGGAACGGGGAACGGAACTAAAAGTTTACAACTACTACTTTGAAAATAACAGTGACAGCATGGTAGTGCTTGTACGTATGCGCGACAGTTACACCTCCCCCTTCGACTAGAAGGTCGTGTTGCAGATGCGTCGGTATTATTCTGTTCTTCTTCTTTTCTTTTTTCCGCAAAGTCCTCTTTTTTTCTTCTGCTCACTGATTTCTTTAAGCCTGTTTCACACTAGGCTACTTACTAGCTGCTAAATCTGCTATTTAGTAGCGGCTAGTGAAGTAGCCGCTAGTCTAGTGAAGTAGCTGTCACACAACGAATGTCAGTAGCGGCTACCCAGCAGCAGCATTCAGCTAGTCGATGTCATTCCTGCCGTTTAACAGGAAGGAAGATTGTAGTTTATGTGAAATGTCGTCTGTTGGTATAAGCCGGGTTGAATTACGGCGTTTAATTTTGATGTGCGTTAGCGTTAGTGATGTGTGTCTTTTTTTCCACTGCCAGCTTTGGGAAAGGCCCCGCCTGGAGGCTCATCAGTTAGTAGGACTGCTGTCGGTGGACACGGTCATACCGATGATGACGGAGGGTGAGGACAATTGGACCTGTGTGTCACATTACATCCAGGGTATTCTCCGCGCAAAGAAGCTCGACCTTGACCGGGATGCGGTGTAGGTCATGAAGTATCTAAATGCCAAAAACGGTGAGAGCCCTGAGGGCTTAGGTCACATGTTGGCCTGACTTGAAGTAATGTGACAAACAATTCCAGGTCTGTGTCCAACAGAGTAGAGGGGGTTTTTTAGTGAGTAGTCTGTGATAGATTCAGGAGTCTTACACAACAGGCTGGCTACCTGTGTGCGTAAAAGCATTTTCCCTCCTCACCCTAAAAAAAGTGATGTGTGTCCTGGTTTGATAGAAAATATATGTAACAAAAACAAACGCTCCTGGGTGAGGGAGTGTATTAAGAGAAGAGACAGGCTGGGTGCATTAGGGAACTAGCTGTTGAGGACCCCAAATCATACCACAACATTATGAGAATGTCCGTAAATAAGTTTGATTAGCTGCCCAACCTTGGTAACTCCTTTTATTAAAAAGAGACACCAAAATGATGATGGCAATAACATGCCGAACAAAATTGGAAATAACCTTAAGATATCTTGCTACTGGCAACAGATTAAAATCCCTCCAGTACCTTTTCAGAGTGCCACACAATACAATTTCAACCTTTCTACCGGAAGTGCTTCAAGCTTTTAATGAAGTAACTAGCTGCTTACCCGTGCTTCGCAACGGAGAGGACACTGAAGCGAAAAAACTTGATCTTGAATTCCGTTATATAAAATAGTTAGATTTTCCCCTTTGGTTTTAGGAACATATCTCAACTGAAACTCTTAGTTTAAAAAATATCTTTGTTTAAGGCTAGGCTAACTTATAAGGCTACCTAGTACAAATTATATGAGGCGCTGACGCATTTATGAAAATAATGTACCCATACGATTCAATTTTCAAATGATAAGCTTACTTAAACGTTTATTTCATTGAAAAACGTACATATAAAGTAAATAAGAAAAAATAATCGCACAACATAAAGCTCACTGTAGTAAAGCAAACAAAAACAGTTTATATTGATTTCACTTATAATTGATATGTATTACCGTAGCTACTGAGCTTTTTTCACAAAGTTTAATCTTTACCTGCAGATCAGTGTTATTAAGTAACAGACAGACACACACCATCTCATTTTTATATATTAGTATAGAATAGATAATTATTTGTAATAAAAAACAGTATGTTTTTGACCACCTGTTTACTTTCTCTGTAACAGACAGACACACAAACACGTCGGGAACGATTTACTTTTTCATTTTGATTTCCCCAGAACCCAAAAACAGCATTCGTTCAAATTTTTATATATGTATATATATATATATATATGTGTGTGTGTGGGTGTGTGTGTGTGTGTGTGTGTGTGTGTCCGTGAACACGATAACTTGAGTAATTTTTGTCCGATTTTGATGAAATTTGGTTTGAAGGTGTAAGGTAGAATAAACTTGAATGAGTTCGCGAACCAGCATGATCGGACCATGGGAACGGGGTTTTATGGGATAAAAATTGGTTTTTCTAATTTTTGACCCTCTAAACACAAAATTTCCCAATTTTACTCCAGACCTTTTTAAAGAGCTTAAAAAACAAATAATTTTAGTATAATAAAATGTTTTTGTACAATTATTGGTTACGGAGAAAATTCAAAAAAATGTTATCTTAGAATTTCCATGTTATTCTTATGGAGAATATTGTAAAATGTTGTGGTTTGCTTACTTAGGGATATATTTTGATCAAACTTGGTAAATTTATTTATTTTATACTAAGTTATTAATATTTTACAATAAAAACTAACTTTTTACCCTACCTATAGCAGCAAGCCTAGGTACTCATAAAACCTAATGTTAATTAAATACATTTAA